TTTGCCTCACGCCCGCTTCCATGAGCAGCTCCAGCTGCACTATAGCAGCCACATCATGTGGCAACAGTCAGTGGCAACTGTCATGGCAATGTTGACATCGTTTGCGATTGCAGCTCCCCAAGGAAATTCAATTTCTGGTAAACAGGATAATTATGAGCATGTTAAATGTTGCGATAAAAGCCACGCTGCGCTGCATCCCAGAGCCATCGCGACCATGATTGGGGAATTAAGCTGGAAAATAAATTGGGAGGAGGGCGGGGCAGAGACTCCTCCATTTCCTGGCATGTGTGCGGCTTGGCAACGACAAAAAAATCAAATTTAAAAGGATTAAAACATTCACTAAGCGTCTGCTATTTCTTGACTCAGTTTTTCAGTCGGGAAAGGAGAGAAAGTTAGCCGAATGCCGGAGCCCCGAAGCCCAGACAATGCCACAAATTAAACTAGATAAGCAACGGGAGACAATATATGAACGAAAGTTCATTTGTTTGGTTCAAAATTTAAAGAAGGATGCGGGCATCGAAGCAACTTTTGTGGCTGCTGATTGCGGTTCTGAGAGCTTGCATTCAGCTGCACTTCCCAGACCAGCGCCTGAATGGTGGCCAAGAAAAACGAAAAGATGTTAACAATATGAGAATCGAAAAGAATGCAGTTGTCACAGTTTATTTTTGGGTTTCTTGCTTGGCAAACTTGACTTTTAAATGCAGCTGTTTCCGAGTGCCACTTGCCAGGAGTGTGCATCCAAAAGATACTTTTCTTGGCAGTTGGTAAACGGTTTTATTAAATTTCTTTGAAACCCCCTGCCACACTGTTCCTTCCAGTTCTATGACCAGCAATCGATTGCGATGGATAAACGATACGGAGCTGCCGAGGAGCATGCAAATGCTGGACTTGAGAGCCAATCCCCTTTCCACCATTACGGCAGGCGCCTTTCGAGGAATGACCAAGCTGAGGAAGCTGTAAGTTGAGAGCAGACCCTGATGGATCTTTAGTAGAAGTATCTCTTTCCCCCATCCTGTAGAATCCTTTCGGATGTGCGGACTCTCCGCGCTTTTCCCGATCTCGAGGCCTGCCACGCACTGGAGGTACTCAAGCTGGACCGTGCCGGCATCCAGGAGGTGCCAACGAATCTGTGCCGTCAAACGCCAAGACTGAAGAGTTTGTAAGTGTGGGAAAACGTCATAGAACTAGCCCATGATAAACTGAGATATTCTGTTTCTTCTACTCACAGAGAACTAAAAACCAATTCCCTGAAACGCATCCCAAATTTAAGTAGCTGCAGAGACTTAAGGCTGTTGTGAGTATTGGACATTGTACTAGGGAACTGCCTGTGACCTCCATTCCTTTCAGAGATCTATCGAGCAATCAAATTGAGACCCTTCAGGGCAAACCCTTTCACGGTCTGAAGAAGCTGAACGATCTGCTTCTCTCGTACAACCGCATCAGTGCACTCCCACAGGATGCTTTCCAAGGCATACCCAAGCTGCAGCTGCTGTAAGCTAAGATCATTGGGGAACTATGAGGAAACCTCTAATAGGTTCTTCGATTTTGTATCTACAGCGATCTGGAGGGAAATGATATTACCTCCATACACAAAGAGGCCTTTGCCGGTTTCACCGCCCTCGAAGATCTCAATCTGGGCAACAACATCTTCCCTGAGCTGCCCGAGTCGGGCTTGAGAGCTCTGCTGCATCTGAAGACCTTCAACAATCCCAAGCTGAGGGAATTTCCGCCTCCGGACACCTTTCCGCGCATCCAAACGCTGATTCTGTCCTATGCCTATCATTGCTGCGCCTTTCTGCCCCTGGTTGCGATGTCAGCGAAGAGGAAAACCTCACAAGTGCAGGAGGCGGTACTCTTTCCCTCCGATGCTGAGTTCGACATGACGCTATGGAACAACAGCATGATGAATATCTGGCCACAAATGCGTAAGTAGCTCAAGAGTAAACCCATACACACACATATGCTGTCAACGAAGTAGCAGGATATCATGGAGCAGATCAGTCTTAGTCTAGAGGTATTTCGTTAGCATAGATCTCCAGCACACAGAAGAAACTAAATAGTTGACCATAAAGATTGACAGGATGACCGAATCTGGACCAGACCGGATCAATATTACAGCCAGAAGCACCAAATGAATGTTCCCGATCGTTTTCTTGAGTTTTTATATGCAAAATTAAAGAATACAAATTCCAAACATGGACGAAGTAGTGACAGATTTATCATTTTCTCTTCTGTTCTCATCAGACAATCTCAGCAAGCAGCTGGGAGCAGCCATGCACGATCCCTGGGAGGGGGCCACATTCGGCGAGGATCAGCTGCAGTCCCCGACGGGTGGACAATCGCCCACTAGCTACATGGAGGAGTATTTCGAGGAGCACGACGTGAGCGGGCCTGCCACGGGCTATGGCTTTGGAACGGGTCTGTTCTCGGGCATGTCCGCGGATGACTTTCAGCCGGGGTCGGTGCAATGTCTGCCAATGCCCGGGCCCTTCCTGCCGTGCGCCGATCTCTTCGACTGGTGGACTCTGCGCTGCGGCGTGTGGGTGGTCTTCCTGCTGGCCCTCCTCGGAAACGGCACCGTGGTTTTTGTGCTTCTCTGCTCTCGCTCGAAGATGGATGTGCCCAGATTCCTGGTGTGCAACCTGGCGGCCGCGGACTTCTTCATGGGCTTCTACCTGGGCATTCTGGCCATTGTCGACGCAGCCACTCTCGGGGAGTTCCGGATGTTTGCCATCCCCTGGCAGATGTCGCTGCTGTGCCAGCTGGCCGGGTTCCTGGCAGTGCTCAGCTCTGAACTCTCGGTCTACACTCTGGCCGTGATCACGCTGGAGCGGAACTACGCAATCACCCATGCCATACACCTGAACAAGCGCCTTTCCCTCCGGCAAGCTGGCTATATCATGAGCGTGGGCTGGGTCTTCGCTTTGATCATGGCTCTTCTCCCCCTGCTGGGCGTCTCGGACTACCGGAAGTTCGCTGTGTGTCTGCCCTTCGAGACGACGACGGGAGTGGCCAGCCTGACCTATGTTATATCCCTGATGGTCATCAACGGGTGTGCCTTCCTCACGCTGATGGGCTGCTACCTGAAGATGTACTGGGCCATCCGGGGCAGCCAGGCCTGGAACACGAACGACTCCCGGATAGCCAAGCGCATGGCTCTGCTGGTCTTCACCGACTTCCTCTGCTGGTCCCCCATCGCCTTTTTCTCGATCACGGCCATCTTCGGCCTGCAGTTGATCTCTTTGGAGCAGGCCAAGATCTTCACGGTGTTCGTTCTGCCCCTCAACAGCTGCTGCAACCCCTTTCTCTACGCCATCATGACGAAGCAATTCAAGAAGGACTGTGTCACACTCTGCAAACACTTCGAGGAGTCGCGCGTAATGGGAGGCGGCACGGGCGCAAGAGGTGCCGTAGCCCGGGCAAAGAGGGGGGAGCTGCCACCGCCACTCCTACCGGCGACGGCGGCTCATCCGCCGGGCTGCCGCTGCCTGAGAATGCTGCCCAGCGAGATGCCCAATTGGCACAAGATGGAGCAGGCGCCGGGTCTCTGGCAGCGCCTGAGAACATTCTGCTGTGGCGACCGGCGCCGCCGTCGTAAGCAACGCCGACAGCCGCAGCAGCGACGCCCCAGGGCCTACACCGCCGCAGCCGCCAATCCCTACCAGTACCAGTTCGCTGAGCTGCGACAGCAGCGCCAAAACCGGGCCAGCTCCATCTCTAGCGAGAACTTCTGCAGCTCGCGATCGTCCAGCTGGAGGCACGGCCCGCCCTCCTCCGCTCCGGTACCGCAGAGCAACTGCAGCATGCCGCTGAAAATAATGGAGCCCCACGGGCATATGCACGGGCACGGACGGCGTAGACATTCCGCCTGGCTGATCACCAGAAAGACTTCGCAGGACTCGAATCTGTCAAGCTCGAGGAACGACTCCTCGGCCTCAGCCACCACAGCCAGCACTTCGACCTTCCGACTATCCCGCTCTAGTGCCGGAAGCAGCACGCCTCTGCCCTCGATCATAGGTACGGAAATCCTTTTGAATCTATGTCATCAATTATGAATTTTATATTTTGTAACTATGCACTCTTGCACAGCCCACAACGGAAAGACATTGAACGAGGTGACAAAGCCTCGTCTGGTGCGACAGGAGGCGGTCCAAGAGGAGGAGGACTCTTCGCCACCACGTCTGGGAGTGCGCTTCCTGCCCACCATTCCGTCGGCGGCCGACAGTTCGGTCATCCTGGAGGATGGTGACTCGGCCAACACCAGTGGAGTTGCTGGATTTCTGGGCATGCCCCAGCCGGGGGCCTCTAGCGGCTTCCTCATAGCACCCACATCCACACCACCAGTGGTGCTGCAGCCCGAAAAGCCGCCACCCGATCCCAACGATGCCCCGCCATGATGGTGGGACTGGGGCTGGCGGGGGCTGGGCAGAGCCAACCGGGAGACCTTCTTGTAGAGGCCAAGGGAACAGAAAGCAAACTGTGTTCATAGATTGTATTCGGGGGCGGGGCGGGCAAAGAATAGGGAACTTAGGATAGCTAAAGACAAAGCAAAACAAAAACCCCATTAGGCACAAGAAACACGATACAAACATATATTGTACGTAGTCTTAAGTAGTCAATTCGTTAAGCAAAACCATTGCCGACTCTGATCCACTTCAAGCTTAATACGGATCTGCCAAGAAATTGCTTTTTTTGTCCAAAATAGTTGGAAAATTTAAATATTTGGCGAACATAAGGATGCGACAGCGCATCATTCAATAGCTCAGTCAATAATGTTTATCAAATGTCGAATGTGTGTAAGCCTCAAAGAGCTCTAAGACCCCAACAACTGCATTTATATACCTACATATGTGCGTACAAGAGCTAAGAATTCAGAGCCGCCAAATGAAGTCATAGTTAAAGGGATCAGAGAAGGTGGATTAAAGAGTATTATGTATTACATAAATTATTATAGTAGATACATTCGTTACACTTACCCATAACTGTTTAGTGAAGCTATATATATGTATATATTCGTATGTATAGGTATGTATATGTATTTATGTATGTGTGAATTACGAGTATGTTCGACGATGCCAAGCATCAATCGGTGTAAACCTGAAAGCGAAACCAAGCCATAAATATTGAAATTAAACTAGTTCCACACGAAAACAGAATCCCTTAGATTTGTAAGGAAGAGGTTTCTTAGTCCCCCAGGCCAATGCCTTCCTCGATGGTCGCTTCCTCGCTGTTGGCCAAAATCACTCCGTATGAGGGATTTTCGATGAGATGGACTTGCTGCTTGTCGCCGTTGCGACGACGACGCTGCAGCTCTCTAACGACCAGCAGCGGAGTCATCACCAGGGCCAGGCAGAGGAGGATGGCCAGGACTAGCATTGACCAGTGGAAGGCGAGGTGTTTGCCGGTGGATGCCATAGAACTGGTTTGATCCGACTCCGAACCCTCGCAGGTCTCCGGGGCCACGCACAACTGTCCCGGGATGCAGCCTTGAGAACAAATGGGTTCGCATTCGCTGGTGCTGGAAGGAAGCATCCTGTATCCATCAAGACAGACGCACGTTTCCGGCCTGAGGCACTCGGCATTGATGCACTGTTGCTCACATTGAGCTTGACAAATGTGCGGCTTGCTGGAGTTGGTCACCACGTGCCCCGGATTGCAGTCGCACTGGCCGGGGGCCGAGCAGCGGCCGTTTTCGCAGCGCGGTCGGCAGCTGGGGACGCACTGATAGTGGAGTCTGGTATCCTCGTAGCCTTCGAGGCAGGCGCAGCTGTTGGGCTCCACGCAGGTGCTGTTGATGCAGCTGGGGGAGCACTCGGGATCGCAGATGGAGCTGGAGCCGGCTCTCATTCGATAACCCTCGTAGCAACGACACTGGCCTGAGCCCTCGCAGTGGCTGTTGACACACTTCTGGGGGCAGTACGGCTGGCAGGTGCCGGTCGGCCAGCGCTTGTAGTAGCCAGAGTCGCACTGACAGATCTCCGGAGCGATGCAGCGGCCATTTCCGCAATCCTGGCTGCAAATTGGCTCGCAGACGCTCGACCCCAGGATGGGACTAGGTCGGTAGCCGGTAAAGCAGCGACACTCGTTGGGGGCCACACAGCTGCCGTGCACGCAGGGTCTCGTGCATATGGGTATGCAGTAGAAGGAGAGCAAGGCCTGGTAACCCTCCAGGCAGGTGCAAACTCCGGGATTGCTGCAGATGCCGTTCCGACAGCTTCGCGGGCAGAATGGCTCGCATTCCGTGATACTGCCATTCACGAAGATGTGGCCGGAGTTACAGGCGCACGTGTCCGGAGCGATGCAGTGCGAGTTGCTACCACAGGAAGGATTGCACGTGGGGGAACACCGATGCAGTGAGCTCTTGACAAACCCCTCGTGGCACTCGCACTGGCCGGGGGATCTACAGAACCCATTTTCGCAGCCCGCCCCACAGCTAGGCACGCACACATTGTGGGAGTCGTCGGCGAATGTATGGCCCTCAGAGCAAGCGCAATGACCAGGTGAGATGCAAGTGCCGTTAACACAGGCAGGATCGCAGAGTGGCGCGCAGCCAGAAGAAATGTGATCCGTAATGCGGGTGTACCCCTTTCTACAGGCGCAATGCTCCGGTAGTAGACATATCCCATTGCTGCAACCGCTCGAACAGACGGGATCACATTTCCAGGGCTGTGAAACTCGCTTCTCGTGTCCTGCATGGCACTTACACTCGTTAGGCCCCACGCAGTCGCCATTCAAGCACTGATCTTGGCAAAAGGGCACACATTTCTTCAACTCCTCGTCTCGCTGATAGCCGATGTTGCAGACACATGTCGCTGGGCTCGGGCAGTGTCCGTTCTCGCAGTCCACCGTGCAGATGGCCTCACACTCCGTCCGAGAGTCAGCGCGAAAGCGATACCCATCCCGGCACTGACACTCATCCGGCGCCACGCAGCTGCCATTGACACATGGATCGCCGCACTCTGGCTCACACACTGTGCGATTGTTCCGATTGGAAAAGCCCTTGCCGCACAGGCACACGTGGGGGCTGAGGCATCTGCCAGTAATCCCGCAATCCTCGCACTGGGGAACGCATTCACTGTGGGAGTACGAGTGGAAATAAAGCTTAAGTGAGGTGCGCAGCCAGCCGGTAGTTTCTCTACTCACGCATCTTCGTTGCGGAAGTATCCTTCGCAGCAGACCTCTTCATACGACATGTAAGTCTACGGAAAAACAAACAAAACGTGTGAATACAATAAACGTGCATATTCAACTTATAAGATACCAAAGGAACTTTAAATTAATCGAAGAGTAAATAGAAAAGAAGATCATCTGGAAGCTTACCCTAGATGCCTTCAAATAAATCACTTCAATTCACATCACTTGATTTACAAAGTTTTGGTTACCTCAGTTCTAGGTCTGCCCACCAAGGATCCACAGGTTCCAGTGCAATTGCTCAAGCCCTGATATTTTCGCATGGTTACCACGGTGCCCCGCATTTTCATTAGACTTGAAATTCATTAAGAGATGGACGTCAGTTAGAATGCAAATTACGCGATCCATAGATTTTTACTCACGGGACGCGATCGACACAGGCATAAACCTGCAGACCAACACCTGAGAGTATTATTAGCACAAGGCCCCACATATTAGGGAATTATGTTGTAGAAACACTGGACTAAACGCTCGAGGCAACTTCTCACTTTAAGATACACTTGACAAATGATCAGACAAGTGAGTTCTCAATTACATTAAGATGGACAAGCAATCCCGACACGAGCGCTTATCATCCTAGCTTTATATTTTTCTGCGTCTTTATGTACTCTATATATACATATATAGGACAGATACCCCATGTGCTATATGTGTTTATTGAACCCAAAGCAGAGATTGCGATACGAGTCCAAGTGCAGTCCACGCAAATTGAGATCCTTAACATTGAATACTCGTATGTAAATGACTTTTGAGGTCTCGCTTATCGTGCAATTTTAGCCACGGGCATGAGTATATAAAAATGCATATAAATAAGATTCCTGTATGAGACCCAAAATGGAAACATGATGTGAGTATACTTTGTCGCTTTGGTGCATCGACTTTGATTTAGTGATAAAATAATATTGAAATCATCTACAATTTACAATTTTGTGTCACGTTGATTGTGGTTTATTTCCACTCAAACGGCTAGACCGAAAAGGTTCCCAACTATTTTTCCCATTCCTATCGCAACCCACCATTTGTTACACGGGATTTTAAGGTTTTTGTATGAAGAATCTCCAAATATCCCTTAAAACATGTAAACATAATAAAGTTTGGTCTCTACTATTTGTGTGCAGAAAAAATTCCAGACAAACCCAACAAGTACATTGAGCCGTTACATCTGAGTTGTTTCTTCGCCTCGCATTCGAGTACGAGCCAAACATTGAGTATTACGCTCACCCGAATGCTGATTGTTGTTGGGGGTAAAGAATGTCTCCATTTTCGTGCGCTCAAATTCAAACATTCAGATATGTTCGTATGTGTTGTGTATGAGGAAAAAAACAACAACTTGAAAATAGACACCACCTGAACCATTAAGCGGCATGTTCATCGGCACAGATTCAATATCGAATCTGTTCCTGAAGTATATATTCAATTAATGCTTCAATATGACGTCGTTCGGAGCAACTGAAATTGCTCACAAACTGCGGAAATGGTTTGCGGGTCAGCTAGTAATTAATTATTTATTTAGTTTTTACTTTGAATTTTATGACCTCAATGACCGAACGCGACTGAGTAACTTTTCCGTTTTATTTCTGTTAATGAAATTCCAGCTGATTGTTTCCAACTAATCTTCCCACGCAGTAGCTTGAGAGGTCCATACATAATACTGCCAAGATATATACACACTTGATCATAATAATAGGTACACACATCTACGTAAACTTTAACATAACAAAAAGCAGTTGTGTTCAATATTTGAAACTTAAAATTAGTTCTCAATTATACCAATAGTATTTGTTTTTAATAAAATAAACTTTATTATATTATAGGATAATGTTATAAAAGAAAAGAGAGCAATTTGTACTTCAGAGTCAATGTCAGGCTGCTCAAAATAATAGGTACACTTCAAGTTTTGTTATGAAAAAAGGTTTTTTAACTGATTATTATTATTTTTTCGTTGCCTAAATGGGATTTATAGTTAATATCCGATGTATCCACCTTTATTTTTTGTCAACTTTGTAATTATTTTTGGCGTACTTGTAATAAGCGTCTGGCAGGTGTCTCATACCACAATTTTTGGTCGCCCACGAATAATTTTTGATTATTTGAAAATGAAAACTTAGCTAATTTTGTTTCGTAAATCTCCCCACAAGTTTTCGATTGGATTTAAGTCGGAAAATTTAGGAAGCCACTTTAAAACGTCTATTGTTTGGTCCTCAAAAAAGTTGGTCAAAAGCTTAGATGTGTGCCTTGGGTCGTTATATTACTTAAATACCCAATGGAAACTCATGTTTTCTTCAGCATAAGGTAGCAAAACTGTCTGCAATCTGGGTTTGTATTGCTCAGCGTCCATTCTGTTCGTTTTCAGGAAAAATGGACCTACGCCGTACCAGGATGAGCAGCCGCATGTCTTTAGCCTGCACCTCCATGTTTGAGAAATTTTTTGTTTGAAACATGGATCAAAATTCTTTCGTTTAGGGCTTCCTACATTGCTTTCACATTCATTCCCTAATAAATTTATTTTAGTTTCGTCGCTCCATAAAAGGCTTCTCCACTTTTTCTCTCCGGCGCATCCTGCGCAGTCTTTATGATCTTTAGCAAAAGTTTGCCCCATGGCTAAATTTTTTTGACGCGTAAGTGGGACCTTTCTTTCTATTCTCCTTGGAAGGCTGGCTTGTTGTAGCCGTCTACGGATCGTTGGAGCACTAACTTCTAGTGCAAAATCTGATGCAATAGCCTTTGACGACTTAAATGGGTCCTTATTCCTCAAAGAAAAGTATGTAGTGGTCAAGTGTTATGGTTGTTTTCTGTGGCTTTCCGCGAGTTTCCTGACTAGGTTTTAATTTTTAAAGCATTGTAACAAAATTATGGGACCTTTTCATTAATTTGGCAATGGCCCGAAGAGATTGGCCTTCTTTTTTCAGACTAAGAGCCAATTGGGCTGTACAATAAGACATTCGGCCTATTCTTGTAAGAAAAAAATAATTATTTGCTCATATTTAGACTGTTGTTTAATGAAATGGATGTTTAATTTGCCAAAAAGTCAAGAATTTCCGAATTATTCACTTGATATTCAAAATTTACTGACACTGTACCTATTATTTTGATCAGCCATAATGTGATGTCAACTCGCAATTTCGCTTAAAGCTCTGTTATTCGGCGGTTTCCCTGTTTCATTTTTTTGTCACGGAACTGCAATACATTGACAAATAAAACATACCAAACAAAATTTTGTTTTCAACACTTAAAGTACGATAAAACTAATTATTAATGAAAAGCTTCAAGGTGTACCTATTATTATGATCAAGTGTGTATATATATATATATATTAATTAATACTATACATATGCAACTTTATTATCATGCAAAACATTGTTCGGTAATGCGTTGTTAGGAAGAAAAATATTTTGTAAGGCACAGATAGGCAGAGAACAGCTATGGTCAGATAAGAGACTTCTTTTAAGTTGTGAAAATATAAAAAGATATCTGTGAAGACAGAGCTCCAAGAAAAGATTTACTTAAGGGATCAAGGTCGCTGGAAGAGTTTCTTTTTATCACTTCTCCTATTAAACAGTGCAATACCAGAACCAGGACACAAAGTATTACTGAGATAAAATCGAGTTCCTAATATTTGCGAGTGCAAAAGCATAGTTTATCTCGCATCCAACGGATGTGGCCGAATACGAATACCCGGAGATGCGAGAACTTGAATGGAAATCCCAGTTTGAGGGCTCAGTTCAATTCGGAACGTTGTACAGAACGCAGAACTGAACGCTTACTTGGAGATACGAGTGGGCCCAAGAATTATACTACAGTTGGAAAACATTGATCACCAAAGCCATGACTCACAATGTAGGTCTTGGGATGGGCTTGGTCCTGGCTGTTGGCTTCCTTTGTGCGGTTCGAGCCTATGATCCAAAGATCTGTACGAGCTTCGAGAATGTTCCGTACACGCGATCGGTTTACAGGTCTCGCCAGGAGCCGTATCAGAAACATTCCTTCTGGCAAGGCTGGCAAACCAAGTTTCGTACAGTATATGGATGGCAAAATGAAGTAAGTCCTGAATGGATTTCCAAACTACCCGGAAGTATCTAAAAATAAGAAGAAATTGTGCTATTTACCCATAGCCTTTATTAATCAAAAAAAAAAAAAAAAAAAAAAACAACGATGCATTTTGTACTTTTTGTGTAAACGTATTCTTTATGCTCTAAGTAAATCAAATATTAATAAAAGTTATTTTACACCCCCAGGTGAACTATAGAATTGAAACAAAACAGGCCTGCTGTGACGGCTACGAGGGATCTATCCAAAACTGCAAGCCCGTTTGCTCTGGAGGCTGCTCCGGAAACAGTTACTGCACCGCTCCGAATCAGTGTAGCTGCAAGGATGGATATGGCGGAGCCGATTGCGATCCCATTTGTTCCGACTGCGGCAAGAACGAGTATTGTCTGATGCCGGATCGCTGTGCCTGCAACGAGGGACACCAGAAGGTCCACAACGACGGCGAATGCCTGCCTGTATGCCCAGAGCCCTGTGGGAATTACAGCTTCTGTGCCGAGCCGGGAGTTTGCGAGTGCATCGACGGCTATACCAAGTCGGAGATCGACTCCACGTGTCAGCCCGTCTGTCTGCCCCAATGCGATCCCAACTCGTTCTGCCAGGAGCCGAACGTCTGCGTCTGCGAGAAGGGTTATCAGGCCGATGGGGAGGGCAAGTGCTTTCCCATATGCGACGCTGGTTGCGGTGAACACAGTCAGTGCGTGAGACCCGGAGTGTGCGAGTGCGAGGCCGGGTATTCCGGGGAGAACTGTCGGCCCGTTTGCTCCCAGGGCTGTCCCGAGTATAGCAGTTGCCTGTCACCCTCCGTCTGCATCTGCGATCCGGGCTATATCATGAAGGCAGACCGTTGCGAGCCGTACTGTCCCCAGCAGTGCTCGGACTATGCGCGATGCACGGCCCCTAACGTCTGCGAATGCTACCCCGGATATGTGGCGACCGGGGAAGACGGCAAGTGCGAGCCAAAGTGCAGCCAAGGCTGTGCCAACGGCTTCTGCTTCTCGCCGGAGGTTTGTGTCTGCAGCATAGGCTACCTGATGGGCCCCAACAAGACCTGCGAACCCCAGTGCAGTCTCAACTGCGTGCATGGACACTGCACCCACCCAGAGACGTGCTCCTGCGCAGCTGGCTACCGTTTCCAGGCGAACTCGCAGCATATTTGTGAGGCGGTTTGCGCGAATGGTTGTAAGCACGGTGATTGCGTGGAGCCGGACATCTGTCTCTGCCACGTGGGCTACCAGCCGGTGGCCAACGAATCTGGCATCGTGGTCTGTCAACCCGTCTGTCAAACCCCATGTGCGAAATCTACATGCACTGGACCGGACCATTGTAGCTGCCTGGAGGGTTACGTGCACATCTCCCCCTCCACTTGCGTACCCCACTGCAGCAAGGGCTGCCAGTTCGGGGACTGCGTGGAGCCAGAGGTGTGCACCTGCCGGCCTGGCTATGAGCAGACAGACGAGGGGTGTAGGCACCAAACTACCTCCACCTCTGCGTCCTTTGCGGACCCTACATCTACTACGACCTCCATACCTCTCGATGGCTCAACCTCCACCGCTGCTGTTTCCTTAGCTGGCCTTCTTCAAATTCCAGTCCCAAACTGTTCTAGGGATTGCCTCTGCTGGAATGAGTATGACGAACTGGGTCCACTGAACAACGCCAAGTGTGTCAACGTTTGTGTGGATGATCATGACAAGCCCTGCCTGGATCTATTGAAGTGCCGCTGTGATCCCGCAAGTGGACAACTAGTATGTGGCGGAAATGAGGACTACAGCTCCGAGGTAGCGCGCTACATATGCAAGGTGCTCAAACCCGAGGAGGCCGCGCAGCAAGAGAAGAATGATGCCGCCAAGGCCGAATCCAGCATAGCCCAGACAACAAGCTTGGAGTCATCCAGCTGGCTCTCTGGAGTGGGGTGGTGCATCGCTGTCGTCGTTCTTGTGGCCATCGTAGCCACAGCCGTTAAATGCTATCCAAAGTATTACCCCAGACGTGTTTACCAACCCGATGAAGCCATTTACGTGAATGCTCATTAGAATAATAACTTTGTTTTGCTAAAACTAAATACATACGTATTTATATATAATTATCGAATGATTAATTAAGTTTTTTCATTCCCGCGAATGTAGATGGATCTCAGATAACTGCCACTTCGGCTTGTATATTTGAATTTATTATATAACTGTCTAATCCTATTCCCTTTTGGGGAGTGCATAAATAAAGAATTCGGTAATAAAATAGGTCTCTTCCCTCCTAAACAGGAATACACATTGTGGATGGTTCATGGTAGCTAAAGCCCGGATCACAGATACATCGGTTCCGACTGACACACACTCCATTGCTGCACTTTCTGCGGTGAGTAAAGAGTAAGTGAAGTGAAAGGCGTACCAGTATATTGCACCACTAAGAGTACTCACTGATAACAGTCGGTTTGACAGACCCCATCCTTCAGCATGTATCCCGGTCCGCACTCGCACTCGTTGTTGTCCCTGCAGAGGCCCCCAATGCCGCAGTCCGGCTCGCAGACCGGTTGACAGCCATCGTCAGTCAACTGGTACCCCTTGGAGCAGCCACAAACCTCGGGCTCCGTGCAGTTATGGCGCTGGCTGTTGCCACAACCGCTGCTGCAGATAGGCCGGCAGAAGCGCCTCGTTTCGTCCAGCTTGTAGCCAGGATCGCAGAGGCAGCTGCCGTCGAGGAAGCAGCGGCCGTTCTGGCATCCCAGCGGACAGGCGAAAACGCAGTCCCCGTTGTCGTTCTTCACAAATCCCTCGTAGCAGTCGCATTCTCCTGGAGCACGGCAGCTTCCGTTCTGACACCCGCATAGGGGACGGCACTGGGTCACTCCCAGCAGGCGGCTGGCGGAGTAGCCAGTACAACAGACTTCGATCAGCGATAGCTTGTTGGCCAGGTCTGACTGAATGGTGTTGGCGTGCGGGTACTTTGGGGCCGTTTCGGGACTGAAGCAGTGGGTGGGGTAGTAAAAATGTACTCGTTTTAATCACGCAGAATGCGACGCTGCATCTACTTACGGCACCCAAATGCGGCACTTGTGCTGCTCCCTGTCGAATAGCGTCTCGTGGGAGCGGACCAGGTACTCACGCCGCTTTGGCTGCTGTTCCAAGGGCCTCAAAACCTCATAGTTGGCTCCCCCAGGACGGTTGAAAAGCGGCTGGGAGGGCGACTGTTGTCTATTGGACGAATAGCGACGTCCGAATTGACTTGGATCCTGAGACTGGGGACGCCTAGGGTCGTAGCGATTCGGGCCATCATACTCCGAGTAGTTGGGCACATTCGTTTGGGTAGGGGGCAGGCCCAAAACCAGGCAGAGAAGCAGCAGGCCCAGATGTTGGCTCGTCTCATGTAACCACATTTCCCGTATATTCTTCTTTAATTGTTTGCTGTTTACGTTCCTCGCAATACGCTTGCTAAAATCCTACTAATGTGCCTGAGATTAGCGAGCTCTCCGCCTACCCAGAGTTGGCTCGTGGGCTTATCAGTTTAGGGTCTCTGGAAAGCCTAGGCGAAATAGAGCGGAATTCGGTTGTGGTTTTCGAGATGATTAGGAAACAATAAATACAATTACGTTACAGATGAAGGAGAGGCGTCTGATTGATGTATATAGGGATAGAAAATGTCATCTTAGATCTTTTGCTTGATCCCCTTCTAACCCTTAGCCAAGATCCAAATTCCACAAAAAAAAAAAAAACCTCATCGTCCAATATTCTAAAATATAACTGCAATAACATCCAGAAAACAATTTATACGAGTTGCTCCTTATGCTTCGAAAATGTGTATTTTACTGTGTATCCCACGTCCGCGTAGTTTTGCAATTCAAGTAATTGTTTCTATATTGTTTATATATACTCGTATTCATTTGATCAATAAAACAAGTAGAAGTACCTTAATTAGCTGTGAAATGCCATACAACAATCTATACTTCGGCGCAGTTCACTCTTTCACTTGACATACATACTCGTACATGAATTGCCCCGCATCGTGGCTCTGGATCAATCTCTCTCCCGGTCCTCAGCACAGACCAAAGCTCTCGTATTTCAATTAAAAGTCAAGCCCGCTTATCTCAGCCTCTGGCCGCGATTAAGACGCTGACTGACCCAAGTGAGTCGTCGGTGCCGGAACAGTCGGCAATCGCGACTTGAACGCTTCGGTAACTCGCCCAACAAGGCTGAAATGTCGCAGCTTTTGCGTACGTTGGGTATCCAATCGGTACTGCTGGTTGTGTTCCTCTGTCTGCTGCAGGCCATGGAGCTACAGCTGCATGAGCAGCAACTGCAGCAGCAGCAGGACGACCAAGCGCGCCTCAGGGATCAGCAACTGAGGCAGCAGCAGCAGCGCGAGCAGCAGGCACAGCAGCGGCGCCACTCCTCGACGACCACCAGTCGAAAGCCCTTCATAATTCCCAATGGCCTGTCGCTGCCTCGACGAGGAGAACATCCGGACAAGTGCTACCGGGAAGTTCCGTGAGTAGGTTTTTTCGTAGCAGATCGCGAAATATTCAGATTTATTTGTTTATTGCCGTTTTCGGATGTACTCATATACTCATGCACCCACTACTCACTCCTTTGATTAGGGCTGTCTTCTTTCAGTACGACAAGGAGGTGAAGATCGTGGGCAACAGCACCACCAACCCCCACTTCAATGTGATCGAAGTGTGCTGCAAGGGGTGGCGGCGCTACGAGTACGATTGGAGCAAGTGCGTCCCCGACTGCGACGATCGGTGCCAGGAGAACGGGTTCTGTCTGGCCGGCGGGATTTGCCAGTGCTTTGACGACTTTGTGCTTAACTACCGCAACAACTGTGTGCCGACCTGCCCACTGGGATGCCCCCATGGTCGCTGCTATCTGAACGGGACCTGCCTCTGCGATAAAGGCTACGAGCTGGATGGGTCCCGACTCTTCTGCCAGCCGCAATGTAATCAGACCTGTGGACACAACGAGGTCTGTCTGGAGCCTGGAAAATGCTCCTGTGCCGAGGGCTTCGTCAGGGGTTTGCGCGAGTCGGCGGCCTTGGGCTGTCAACCCATCTGCATTCCCGACTGCGGGTACGGACACTGCGTGGCTCCGAATCAATGCGAGTGCTTTCCCGGCTACCACAAACGCATCAATGGCACCTCCTGCGAAAACGGTTTCTATAAGTAAGTGTTGGGAGGGAAACGCGAACGACCCACTGAATAAGCCATATAAATTTCTCTCATATAAATATCAAGTGTGAGTTTTAATTGCACCATTTCTTAGCTACTTATGTCCGTCCGAATCTCCGACATATGAGGTGTTTTTCACACTTCTTTGACTTATTTTGGTATCCTAAGTTCCAAAAATTATTACGCTGATGATGTGGGAGAAAGTGAGAAATATTTCTCAGCATTTTCATCGCGATTTCTATAATTGTTGGTTATTTGAAGATTCTTTCGAAAGTTTGAAACTTACAGTAATTTTATGGAACCAGTATCAACAAAGGCTTTATCTTTTTGACAATTTTGACTCTCCATCCAGGCGCTGCGAGAATGGCTTCCGTGCGAACGAGACCACTTGTGTCTGCCAGAACGGATTCCGGTACGACAATAATACTGCCAGCTGCCTGCCCGACTGCGGAGACAACTGTGAAAACGGAGTCTGCATCTCCCCGGGAAACTGTCGCTGCTTCAACGGATATGTGCGGAACCGGGAGAAGTGTGAGGCCGTCTGCGATCGAGGCTGTGGCTTTTATGGCAAGTGCATTGCTCCAAATGTGTGTGGATGTGCCATAGTGCCCGGACCAGAGACTAGTTATCAGAAGTGTGCGATGGGACTGTGCAGCTCCCTGGGGCGGTGTCGCTGTCTGGAGGGGAAGGTGCGGTTCATTGACAAGTGTATGTCGCCGGACACGGTCACCACCTATGCCTCGGTGGATCCAACGCGGGCGAATAGCTCCCTAATCCTGGAGTTCGAGCTCCTACTTGGCAGGCACTTCATCTTGGGCGGAGCCGAGAGGTTCCACAACTCGATGTGGTGGCTGTGAGAGGAGCGCGTTGCTACATGGACTGATAAGAGTTTATGTTCTCCTCGAAGTCACTCTATTTTCCGTATACTCTCTCCCACTTTTTCAGTCACAAAGAAAATTGTAATAAACATTGAAATATTTCTCAAATAGAGTGGGCTTATCAGTATCAGTGGGCTCATGCACAATCGTACCTCCATATGCGTACATGCATACATATGGGTCGTGTAGCCCCCTATGAGCGACGCCCCTGCTGTATTGTCTATTTTAAAATAGTACGAGTAATTATCTATTCATGAACATAGACAATTTCTTTCTCCATACACATAAAAGCCGAGCCTGACTGGGAAGACAATTTAGTAGCTCGGAGACACTTGCGATCGCAGCGCTGACGATCATTGCCATTCACGGCCCCATTCACAATTGTAGAGCTGAACGAAATGCACTTGAAATCCCCACTGATTGGCCTTCTTATCGTCTGCCTAGCGATTGAGCGACCCTCGCCCACTGCCGCTCAGTTCTGGCTAAAGCTGCCCGAACAGAACTGGGAGCGTGAGATGCTGGCCACACGAGACTCCGGCGTCTGCTACAAGGAAGAGATGTAGGCTTAGGCCTCTCCCAAAGTTCCCACAACGAGTCTCACATCACATCAATTATCTTGCAGGGTGGAAACCATCAACCCGAATGCGAGACTCCGTCAGATCTCCTACTGCTGCGAGGGCTACGTGAACCATGGCAGCCCACAGAACCTGAAATGCCAGCCCATCTGTACCGAGGATTGTGCGCACGGCCTGTGCCTCTCGCCAGGCTACTGTGAGTGTGCTCCGGGCTACTATCGGGAGGAGCGGCGGTGCAAGCAGATGTAAATCGATGTTATAGAGACGTTAAGAATAGCAAAAACCAATGATCTATTTCAACAATTGTCGAATCTGTTCATCCGTTCACCCGAAATAAAAACAAGTACTACTTTTCATAAATATTCTTAATTTTTCCGATACCCTGCAAATCACCTTTGCAATACACCTCGTTACTCAAAGAGCAGAAGGGTATATAAGATACGTGTAGATGTATAATGAAAAAGGAAGAAGGAAGCGTTACCGACCCCATAGACTATATACTTTCATATATTCTTGATCAGCCGAATCGATTAACGTCTTGTTCTTAGACTATAGGAGCTGGAGCAACCAAAATCTGGGCTATCCATAATTTTTAAGATCATAATAGGAATTTATCATATCTAATAAAATATAATATGTTATGCGGAAATGCTCGGATAATTACTTTATCCAGAATAAAGAAAACAATTTCTTGTGGCTGAGTCCATACGGAGATTATTTTCGATCCGGTGAAAAAGGAAAGACGAAGTGCAGGAATATATTGTACTTATAAGTAGAGTAGTGGCAAGAGTCACAACGTTTCGATTGGTTCATTATAAAATAGTACATACATAAATCTTCTTTAAGCCCAAATGGGGTACAAATTTCTAACATCTATGGTGCATATATTCTGTGGAACTCGCTTAAATGTTCAAAGCCGATCAATCATAGTCATTTGTTGCTGACTTTTCGTGGAACTGCTCACAAATGTTTAACAGTAGGCAGTAAGCAAGAGCAAACACAAATTGTTAATTATCAATTTATTTTACCATAAAGCTATTCATCTGTTCAGCTACTGAGAGTAAACCTTCGTTCTGGCTGCCCCACTGATAGCCCAATGGCGAGGTGCTGATTAGGGGACGGGCAAGAGGTCGCTGGAGGCGATTTGCGACTCACAGACTCAGCTTTCGCATTAGAGCCCGTTTATTGTGAGTCGATTAGTCGAAGTGCAACAGCAGACGCCGACGGACGTGGGCGCATAAGTACGTACTTAAAAATTGTAATACGGGAAAAAAGTGACATCACCATGAGGTCATCGTGTAAGATACTCGTCCCGACTCTTCTGCTGGCCATCTGCTCTCTTGGCCAGACACAGTTCAAGACGGCGGGCATTAAAACGCGTCAGCCGCCTTCGGGGAATCTTCAGCTTTCGGGCAATGCCAGTGAGTACAACCAGACGGGCTACGGGTGGAACAGCTACAACCAGAGCACCTACGGCTGGAATGCCAATGCGCAGAACCAGACAAGCCATGGATGGAGCGATTTCGTCCCCGCCGAGACCTATCAGCCCGCAACTTCGCCTCCCCTGTACGGACACTACGTGCAGCCGGTTGGACCCCCAGTGACACGGGCCCCACAGGTTCTGGACGAGACGGCGCTGTTCATCAACAAGACCCGATCGGCCATGGCCAGCGGTGTGTGCTATAAGGAAGTTCCGTAAGTCGGGGAATAACTTTTACTACGAGCAGAAGAAACAACCTTATAATTAAACTAAAGACTAATGATTATCGAAAGAAATCGAAAACAAGGCCAACAATTAAAACAGTGAACTAACGACCTCGACATCCTCCACTGGCCTGATAATGAAGTGCGCCTCGGCCCAATCTGTGTGTCGGGCAAAGGCAAATAATAGAACAAACTCGGATTCAAACGACGTATGCAAAGTCGCAAGCAATTCAAGTGATATGATGCAACGATACGAAAGGAATGCAGTCGATTAGCTCTGTACGAATGGAGCTTTAAATATTCTAGAAAAGGCTTTAAAAATGTTTTTTTCTGGGCACTTCTTACTAAAACTTACAACGAACTATTGCATCCATAAACGAGGGGGAACGTTGTGAGTTGCTGCGGACACCGCAACTCTACAGTTATACCCGATACTTAGTCAGTATGGCTCTCCTCCTCCTCCAGACGCCGCTAATATTAAACGACACGACAAAGAGTGCGTGCAAGAGAGACAGAAAATCAGTCTGAGCGTGACGTCGGGCCTTGCGTAGCCACTGCAAATTGATTTGTTCCTTTTGGCTATAAAAATGATCTGATCTGATAGATATGATCATTATATATGATTCTGCGTTTTTAGTTTTCTCGTATCCTCAATATTGTGGATGCAACAGTTTTTCGTCCTTTGTGGGGGCGGAAAGAAGTGGGGCGAAATTCTGAGGTGTACGTTTTATAGTGAGATCTAACAGAAGTGCGGATACCAAATTTGGTTAATCTAGCGATAATAGTCTCTGAGATTTGTGGATGCCCCAGATTTTCGTCCTTTGCGGGGCGGAAGGGGTGTGGCGAAATTTTGACACAAAACGGTCAAGGTCCGATATCACAGAAGTTTGTATACCAAATTTGGTTGCTCTGGCTCTTATAAGTTCTGAGTTCCTGGAACTCATATTTTGCAATTGGCAAAACCGACCATGAAACCTGTTTGTTAGAGAGAGACAGAGCGAGAAAGAATGAAATTGTTTTCTTGATTCTGGCTATAATAATTATACGATCTGGTTTAGATTTTGCACTCGAGAAGATGTAGTCATCTTCTAAGATTCTGCGTTTTTAGTTTTCTCGTATCGTCGAATTTCGCCCTTTGTGGGGGCGGAAGTGGGCAGGGCAAAGTTTTGAAATATTCTTGTAGCAGTGACATATCAGAAAAGTCTGGATACAAAACATCGCTGCTCTACCTCTTATAGTCTTTGAGCACTACGCGCTGAAGGGGACGGACAGACTGACATGGCTCAATCTACTCGGCTATTGATGCTGATCAAGAATATATATACTTTATGGGGTCGGAAACGATTCCTTCTGGACGTTACACACATCCACTTTTACCACAAATCTAATATACCCCAATACTCATTTTGAGTATCGGTTATAATTACCATAATTACCATTTGCGATGAAAAATAAATTATTATTATGTTAGAAAGGACGGCGTCGTGAATGATTTGTTTGTTCAAAAGAATCTATGAAAGCTTGAAAAATTAGGTACATACATGGAAATTTTGAATATTTATCTATAAGATAAGTGTTTTTCACACCTTAAAGCAATCACCATTGACCATTGACTCTATAAGCCACTCATTTGGAAATTTTGAGTTTTCATAATCGTAACCTACGTTTTTTAGGTGGGCTGTTCACACACATTTAATTTCAATCGAAAAGTATCGATGTGTCGATTAGTTTCCAGGATACGTCCTGTGCCTAAACAATCGATTATCCCTTTCAATCCGAATTGCTTTTCGATTTACAGAACCGCTTCTCTTCTGCGCAATTCACGGGAGAGGTTCGTTGGCAATGGGACCACCCCGGACATGAGCAGTGTTCAGGTGTGCTGTGAGGGATACGAGCGCAACCCGCACATCTATCGAAAATGCGACCCAATCTGTGCGGACGATTGTCCAAACGGAATCTGCACGGCACCCAACACGTGTGTCTGCATTCCCGGCCACGTTCGAACGAGCGAGGGCAAGTGCATCTCCACCTGTCCACTGGGCTGCGGCAACGGAGTTTGCGACGAGCGCAACGAATGTCAGTGTCGGGAAGGATACTCCCTGGATCCCCTGAGCCGCAAGTACTGCCAGCCGGAGTGCAAGCAGGGCTGTGCCCAAGGACGCTGTGTGGCTCCCAACAAGTGCGAGTGTCTGCAAGGCTATCGCCAGGCTCCCGATGGGCGCTGTGAGCCCGTCTGCGACAACTGCGACAACGGGCAGTGCACGGCCCCTGGCCATTGCACCTGCAAGGCGGGCTACCTCAAGCTGCAGGGACGCTGCGAGCCCATCTGCGAGCAGTAAGTGGGCCTACGCACATATCCATAGGGAGAATAATCACGTTTGTCCCTTTAGACCCTGCAAAAATGGACGCTGCATTGGCCCGGACATCTGCGAGTGCGCGCATGGCTTCGAGTGGGATCGTAAGTCAGCCGAGTGTCTGCCGAAGTGCGATGTACCCTGCCTCAACGGAGTCTGCGCGGGCAACAACCAGTGCGAGTGCAACCCGGGCTACGTGCGGGACGAGCACCAGCGGTATATCTGCCAGCCCCATTGCCCCCAGGGCTGTCCCAATGGCTACTGCAGTGCCCCCAACTTCTGCATTTGCCGGCCAGGATTCATCAAGAGCGGCATAAAGGGCCGTCAGAGCTGTACGGCTGTCTAGTACCTCAGTAAAATGGCTATATGTGCACTGATTTAAATTACGTTTTTTTCCACACATATTTTCTTGATTTATTTTATTTTTTTATTTGGTTAGCTGTTAATAAGCTCAAACAAAACGGCAGACAAAAAAAGTTTAATATACATTGTTGCGTGACCTTCCATCCATGGCCACAATTATTAGTTATAGATGGAATTATGAATTATGAAGTCTAGTGTAAGTTAGGCTAGGGCAAAGCGGGAGCGCAATAAAAGCTCGCTCTCTCGCTCTTGGCGAATTCGCCCCGCTTTGCCACCGTAGGATAGCTAGAGTAAGAGATTGAATTGTGAAGAAACTTTAGTTGTTCGCCAACCTTGAAATAGATCGAGCGTATCAAGTTTTTCGCCCCGCCAAATAAATAATTTAAATTACAGCCACCCAAAGTTTTCGGTAACTGATTAGAAAAACTCTTCTAATTTTTCATGGCGCCCCCGGGTGGACTGTAAAGTGAATTATAGGCAACAAAAAACAAGTGACAGTGACACAAGAAATTGCAGTATACATATGCAAACATATTCGTTGCCCGCGTCGTGTGTGTGTGCAATCGGCAATCAATTTTTGTAAAATATCATCGCGTCGGTCGCGCCAACAATAATTTTTGTGCAATTCTGCTACCGCCGAGGGATGCCCTGCGAAAAAGACAGGAAAGTAGCAGTTGGATTCAAAAATCCAAAAGAGGAATCAGAGGTATTTGTGCAGAAAATTGAAGGCTGAGCTAAAGACATTCAGATCTTTCTTTGAGGTGTCTTGTGCTGAATACATTGCACATCGCCTTCAATTCTAGGCACAGACGTATGATACATATATAGTAGAGCTTGATTGCATGCATTTTGTTATTAATTGCATAAATATAACTAAAAACATAAATACATACATACATATCGACCCAAACAGACATACATATGTGAACCGCTATTTGGACGCAACAGTTATACATATGTACATACATACATACATCTTTCGTTTACTGCAATCACTGTCAACGCCCCCCCCCCCCCCCCCCATTTTATTTTGTTCTACCTTTCTCGTCGTTAGAACAAAGTTTGTTCGTTCGTTCACCCAAGCCACGGCGTATAGAAAATATCCACACATACATACAAGCAGCAGCACCGGTGCATTATTTCGTTTTCGCTTTCGCTTCTCCACTGCTGCTTGCGTTGTATTTGTTGGGAGAATTTTCGTTGCCGCTCTTGAGCTTAACGGTGCGCCAAGTGACGTGCTACCCTACATCCAACGGGTATATTGTTTTCGGCTGTTACTTGCCAAGTGACGCGCTACCCTGTATCTAACGGGTATATTGTTTTCGGCTGTTACTTGCAACAACTCTTTCCCTTGATACCTCGTGCATCGACATTCAATTAAAATTCGTTTTCGATTATCGTTCTCGTTCAAAAATTTAAAATTAAAAAAAAAAAAAAAAAAAATATTAATAATAAATATATAAATAAAAACACAACCATTATGGCAGAAAAAAGTAAACCCACTCTTGAAGACTTAAAGATTAAGCTCAAAAGTAGAGTAAAAAGCATTCGCCGCTTAGAGGATCGATTAGATCAAGGGTCGATTCCTTTGCAATTACCGGAATTACAATGTAGATTAGATTGTTTGAATGCTTCAATTGAAAAGGCTAACCATTTGCAGGAGCAAATCGAGGATATAACAGGTGATGATGCATATGCAGCCGAGTTGGAAGAGCTGATAATTGTCACCAAAGGAAAGATAATGTCGCTTATCGCCGCCTTTGATGCAGCAAGCGAGACGAAGCCAGTGTCTTCTTCAGCCCCAACTCATGCTAGACTTCCGAAATTGGCATTACCCAAATTTAGTGGTAAACACTCGGAATTCAAAAATTTCATTAGCCTTTTTGAAAGACTAGTCCATAGCGACAACAGCATACCGGTGATCGAAAAATTTAATCATTTGATTTCGTGCCTCTCTGATGAAGCATTAGGAACAATAAAGGCGTTCCAAGTCACCGAGGCAAATTATGAAAAGGCCATGGCTGGCCTAAAACGAGTGTATGACAACGATTATTTGATTTTCACGAATAATATTTCCACATTGTTCAATCTGCCGAGAATGTCGCATCAATCTGCATCATCTCTAAGAACTCTAATCGATACTGTTTCGTCGATTTACGGATCGTTACTGTCGATCGGAGATGATACAACAATTTCGAATGCAATGCTCATTCATCTCGTTTTAAACAGAGTCGACCCAGTGACGAAACAAAAGTGGGATGAACAGCTTACTTATGAGAAGTTGCCGCTTTGGTCCGACTTTGAGAAAGTCTTGAATCGTCGATACCAGCATCTGTCTGCTGAAGAATCGACCAAGCCAAGGCAAGACAAAGTCATGCCAAGCAAGCAACATAATCGCAGTTCATTTGCTTGTTCTTCCACTTCCACCAACAGTAGAACTCAGCAAACTTGTAGCTACTGCAATTCAGGAGACCATGTAGTGTCAAATTGCCCTTCATTTTCGCGTCTCTCGGTGATGCAAAGGTTTGAGTTTGCTAAGTCGGCATCCCTATGCATTAATTGTCTGCGAAAAGGCCACGCTGTTGTAAAATGCAAAGCCAATAAATGTCGAGTGTGCAGCCGCTCACATCATACATTATTGCATCGATACACAGTGTCGGCTAATAGTCTCGCGTTGCCACCACCCCAAGAGAGTCCTTCTCCTCCATCAAATCAGAATCAACCTTCCACGTCACATGTTTTGCATGCGACAGCGTTGGACAGGGTAATTCTGGCTACGTCGATCGTAAGCGTCCGAACTAAGAGCGGTGAACACATTCTGGCCAGAGCTCTGCTCGACTCTGGATCACAAACAAATTTCATTACCGAGGACCTCGCTAATCGCTTACAGATCCGTAGAGAGGAGTCCTGTATTAACTTGCTTGGAATTGGTGAATCTAATTCCCAAGTAAAGGATAAAATACACACAGTGGTGAAGTCGCGAATAAATGGTAGTGAGTTCTCCTTTGATTTTTGGATCCTGAAATCAATTTCAGGTTATCACCCTGACCAGTCAGTGAATGTGACTGACTGGCGAATCCCAGAGAACCTACCACTGGCAGACCCTTATTTCTACAAGCCACAAAGAATAGATATGTTAATTGGAGCAGAATCGTTCTTTGAATTATTAGCTGTTGGTCAAATTAAACAAGGTCCTGACTTTCCAACTCTTCAGAAAACCCTTCTTGGTTGGGTTGTGTCGGGAAAATATGTTTCCAGGAGTTCTGCTCCTCAAATTACAAACAGTTTGAGTTGCAGTGAAGAGTTGCTAGTATCCATCGATAGGACCTTGAAAAAGTTTTGGTCACTGGAAGAAATGCCATCTACCAAGAAAATTGCCACACCTGAGCACAAGCTATGTGAAGAACACTATCGTAAGACGACTCAGGTACTATCATCAGGTCGGTTCGAAGTAAGGCTCCCGTTTAAATCAGATCCAAATTGTTTAGGAAACTCCTTTGAGGTTGCGAAACGGCGGTTTTTGTCGCTTGAAAGACGATTGCATCGTGACCCTGAGTTGAAGAAAATGTACTTGGAATTCATGGAAGAGTACCTCTCCTTAGGTCATATGTCTCCTACTGACAATACGATTCCGTCTACTCCACACTACGTAATCCCTCATCAGTGTGTTCTGAGGCCCCAAAGTACGTCTACCAAGCTCCGAGTCGTGTTCGATGCTTCGTCCAAGACGTCCTCACAGGTGGCCTTAAATGACATTCTGATGGTGGGACCTACCATTCAAGAGGAATTATACTCGACACTGCTCCGTTTCCGTCTGCACAGGTTTGCCCTGACTGCTGATGTTAAAAAGATGTATCGCCAAGTGATGGTGAACGAAGCGGATCGGCAGTTTCAGCTCATAGTGTGGAGAAGAGACCCTTCTGAATCCTTGAGATTATACAAGCTCAACACTGTAACCTATGGGACTGGACCAGCCCCATTCTTAGCTATCCGGTGTTTGAAAAGGTTGAGTGAGTCTGCGAAGCTCTCATTCCCTAGAGCTGCTAACGTTATTGGGTCCGACTTTTACGTCGATGACTTGTTGACTGGTGCTGCATGCGTAGAGGAGCTAAGGGCAATTAAGTCCGAAGTGTCTCAGGTTCTTCAGACCGCAGGGTTTGAGTTGACTAAGTGGTTTTCAAACTCACCCGAGATCACCGCATCTGAGAGCACAGCCAAACCCATAACAATCTCGGATTCAGAGTCGACAAAGGCGTTAGGAATCTCATGGTTACCTACTGACGATGCCTTTAAGTTCAAAATTGACAATTCAGTTATGGGTCTCCGAGCGACAAAACGGAACATACTATCGGTGACATCAAAGTTGTTTGACCCCCTAGGTTTATTAAGTCCTATCGTTATAAAAGGCAAGATCCTATTGCAGGAGCTTTGGCTTAACAAACTAGATTGGGATGAGTCGATCCCGCTGCATTTGGAAACAGCGTGGAATAAGTTGAAAAATACACTATCTCAATTGGAAGACATATCCATATCTCGGTTTGTGTATTCCGATCCGATGTCACCGGTTCAAATACATGCCTTTGCTGACGCCTCCATGAGAGCGTATGGAGCGTGCGTCTATATACGTAGCAGAACTGCAGAAGGTTTAAAAGTATCATTGTTGACTTCGAAATCCAAAGTAGCGCCGCTCAAGACCAAAACGCTCCCAAGGCTTGAGTTATGTGCCGCTCACCTTCTCGCAGATCTCTGTCACAGAATCAAGCCCCTATTAAACGTGCCCATTGAACGAGTCGTTTATTGGTCGGATTCAGAGGTAACTCTCCATTGGATCCGGTCTCATCCATCGTCGCTGTCGACTTTCGTTTCAAATAGAGTGGCTGAGATTCAAGAGTGGTCAGATGATGCTACGTGGCGGCATGTACCCACGAAACAGAACCCAGCAGATATTGTCTCAAGAGGTTGTGACGTCGACGAAATCGTTCAGTCAATTTGGTTCGAAGGACCATCATTTCTGAAAGAGGAAGAAGAAAACTGGCCCAAGAACGCTCATTTCGAACACTCCGATGATCTTCAGCTGGAAAAGAGGAAGACTGCGGTCGGGCTGACCGCGGCTGTGCGAAGTTCGGAGCTGTTAGATGTCATCGAGGGATTCTCGTCACATCTCAAACTGTTTAGAGTGTTCGTGTATGTGTTCCGCTTTATAAGAAAATGTAAAGACCCAAGCCTAAAATTCGAAAAAACTATCTCACCGACCGAATACAATGAAGCCTTTTATAAAATTGTCGAAATCGTCCAGCATCACGAGTATCAAGGAGAAATCGAAAAGGTTAGGAAAGGATCTACAATTGGTCCTAGTCTTCAGCGGTTGAACCCATTCATCCATGAAGACACAGGGACTTGGTGTAACTTTTCGTTGTTGCGAGTGGGGGGGCGACTAGCTAAAGCTCCTATATCATACGATGCCAAGTTTCCTCTGCTTTTGACTAAGCGCTCGCAATTCGTGCGAAGCTATATTCGTCATCTGCACCATTCGAATTTTCATGTCGGCCCACGAGCACTTGTGAGCATCCTTCGACAGAGCGTGTGGATAGTGAACGCTCAGGAGGTCTGCCGTCAGACAGTTCGATCCTGTATGCGCTGTTTTAAATGCAAGCCTCGATTGCTGACGCAACTCATGGGGAATTTACCCGCAGATCGACTCCGTGCTCTCCGCCCATTTTCAATTTGCGGCGTTGATTTTTGTGGACCAGTGCACACGACATTGAAAATTCGCGGAAGGCCCCCATACAAGTCATACATTGCGCTTTTTGTTTGTTTTGCGTCCAAGGCGGTTCACCTAGAAATAGTTTCCGATCTAACCACTGATTGTTTTTTGTTGGCTTTTCAAAGGTTCGTCGGGCGCCGAGGATATCCCCAAGTCGTTCATTGCGACAACGGGACGAACTTCGTCGGAGCGAGCCGCCATCTCAGCGCTCTGCGGATCAGGCTCAAGGAGCAGGGAGACGCAATTCGCGACTTTGCGTCAAAAAACGGATGCGAATTTGCGTTCATACCGCCGCGAGCTCCTCACATGGGAGGGCTATGGGAGGCAGGTGTAAAAACTGCCAAGAGCCTACTCCTACGGGCGGTAGGCAGCGCGCTCCTAACCGCCGAAGAGCTCGCCACAGTCCTCGTCGGCATCGAGGCCATAATGAACTCGAGGCCGCTGGGAGCCATCAGCCAAGATCCAAGCGACGGCGAGGCCCTAACACCCGGGCACCTGCTGACAGGCGGGTCGCTCATCGCCCCCCCAGCACTGCGGACTCCGGACCAGGAGAGTCTCAGTTGCTTGCGGCGATGGCGACTTGTCTCGTCAGTCAGGCAAGCGTTTTGGCAGCGATGGTCCCGCGAATATGTCCTGGGGCTGCAAATTCGGGGCAAATGGCACCAGCAGCAACCGAACCTCGAGGAAGGAGACCTCGTCATCGTGGCCGAGGACAATCTGCCGCCTCAGGAGTGGCTCGTAGGGAGGGTCATAGCCACGCACGCAGGAGAGGACGGCATGGTCAGGGTCGTCGAAATAAGGACTAGCACTGGAGCGGTTTTTCGGCGGCCCATACACAAATTAGCGCCGCTCCCAATGTGTTGAAGCCGATGCAGGCGTTCAACGGGGCCGGTGTTGCGTGACCTTCCATCCATGGCCACAATTATTAGTTATAGATGGAATTATGAATTATGAAGTCTAGTGTAAGTTAGGCTAGGGCAAAGCGGGAGCGCAATAAAAGCTCGCTCTCTCGCTCTTGGCGAATTCGCCCCGCTTTGCCACCGTAGGATAGCTAGAGTAAGAGATTGAATTGTGAAGAAACTTTAGTTGTTCGCCAACCTTGAAATAGATCGAGCGTATCAAGTTTTTCGCCCCGCCAAATAAATAATTTAAATTACAGCCACCCAAAGTTTTCGGTAACTGATTAGAAAAACTCTTCTAATTTTTCAACATAAAAAAAAATAAAATAAACAAAAATAAATAATTTTATATTTCTTACATAGAAAATGGCTATATCATATATATTTTGCATTGAAAAACAGTTCCAAGGAAAAAGTTTTAGAGTTTTGCAGAGTTAATACCTTAATACTGTCCCATTCCGCAACGATCGCTTGTTTTAAGTCCTTCAAGGTATCGAACTGCCTTGTAAAGTCATAAACTTTTGCTGCAAGGAAAAAATGCTAAAATGTCCATTGATCACCATGGAAATGCTCAGAAAATTAAATAAAATCTACCAATTCTATATATGCTTGAGCATTTATCCTATCTGGTTTAAATCATATTGGATACTTCCCTTTAGCACTAAAGGCCGCCCATATCATAAGCGATCCATCACCATGGTTCCACTTGTGGCAAGTTGGCCGTGGATGAAGCCGGTCTCTGGGTCTTGGGTCTCCGGGTCTCTTGGGTCTTACCCAAGTTCTGCCTTGATTTTGTTGCAAACTGCCGCAATTGCTGTTTTGTCAATTTTCTTATGGCTGCGATAACCGTCTGGATTCGTTAATAATGTTTTGATAATATTTCGATGTCGATTCATTAGCGAAGCTATTCGACCAGTTTTGATGCGGGCTAACTGCATTTTCTTGATCCTTCCCTGTTCTTACTCAGAAATTTCTGCACCATGCGGCATTTTTAACTAAAAATGCATTTTTTTTTAAATTCTTATTGGTTTGATATAATAATGAGTGCTTACGTACTAAATCAATCCGCTTGTCACTTTTCTTGAAAAAGTGCTAACACTGCGCCTCCTAAAACATGAAAAAACATGATTGCTCATACATCTCTTTTCTACGTAGAGCGCGATCTATTTGATCTCTACAACAATAAGAGATAAGAACTGCATAGTCAAACCAAACAAGCAGCTATTACTTTTTAAGACAAATTTAAAATAATTCCTGCACATACATATGGTCCTTTTACTAAGGTAAGATCTACTTCTAGTGATCCAAGCTTTATTGTACGGGTTAGCTGATATTAAAGTGACGTCCGATCAGGGCATTGAACTCGTAGCCAAGTTGCAGGTTAAAGTGCACTCTTCTTTCATTTGTGACCAGCTGATGGATGAGCTGCTGTGGCCTTAGGCAGCGATCGACGAAGTGCGTCTGTCCGTTGGGGCAATGACAATGGCCGTTGGCATCGCAGCTGCCGTTCAAGCAATGCTGTTGGGATGGCTGACAGCCACAGATATTGGGCTTCAGACACAGTCCGTGGGGGCCACAGGATCTGGAGGGTTACATATGTAATACATAGATGGAATACAGGTTCCCCTACTAGTCTTACCCATCACACTTGGGATGACAACCATTCCCTCGACCCTCGTGTCCCTCAAAACAGCGACAAACTCCCGGGGCAATGCACACTCCGTTCCCATGGCCGCAGTCGTCGACGCAATCGGGGAGGCAGCTGGTGGTGTTCAGATCATAGCGATAGCCCTCCCGACAATGGCACTTATACCTCGATTCGCAGAAGCCATTCTCGCAATTACTTTAAGGACATAGACCAACCATAAAAGAATAACCCACGATATATTCCGATGAGTGTGGTGAGCTTAGACTCAGAAACTCACATATGACACTCTGCCTCACAGACACTTCGCTGCGGTCGCTTGATGAAGCCAGGAAAGCACTCGCACTGGTTGGGACCAACACACTTTCCGTATCCACAGTCCGGGGTGCATATGGGTTGACAGCCCAGTTCGTCGGTGCGACGATAGCCAGGGGAACAGTCGCACATGCCTGGAGCGACGCATTCCTCATGAGTGCCGCAGTCCTGGGAGCAGTGTGGCCGACAGAAGAGGCGCGTCTCCCGATCCAGGGCATAGCCAGGATGGCAGGCACAGGTCCCGTTCAGATAACACCGGCCATCCTGGCAAGAAATGGGGCAGGTGTGGATGCAGGCACCGTGCGCGTTGCGCACGAACTCTGCAAAGCACTCACATTGTCCAGGGGCACGGCAGAAGCCGTTGAAGCAGTTGTCCGGCGAACTCTGCGAACAGTCTGGCACGCATCTGCCGGAGTAGGGATTGCGCCTGTAGCCCAGACAGCAGACATCGATGCGGTGGTAGAAAATCGTGGAGCCATTGCCTCGAGGCGGTGAATCCTTCTGTGTTTGAAAGAAGACAACGCTGCAAGGGGACAAGGACGGGGTCACCTCCGAAATAAACGGGCTTCAAGTACTTACGGCACCTCGCGCTGGCAGAGATGCTTTTGGCGCTCTCGAGTAAGACTGAGCGATTCCATATCGCTCGTGATGTGTATGTCCCCGAAAAGCTGCTGCGACTCTTCCTCTGGCATAGCCCCAATCATCGCTAGCATTTCCATGACCGCAGCCAGCATCAGCAGACCCTTCATCACAGGCGACAATGTACACAGGCCATTCGAGTGCATGCCGACCTCTTGTTTAAAGCTCCAGATTCGAAGAACGAATGATCGGCTGGCATGGGAATCGAATATATTGTACTATAGCGTCTTATCACAATATGCTCTCTCCGAGAGAGCAACCTCAAAAGCACTCAAGAAAATTCGTTCTTTGTACACTTCTTATATTATTATTATTATTTTTTGTATACTCTACCCTCAAACAGTTTTATTTTCAGTTTTCGGGCGAAAAATTCAAATTCAAGAATCAATTTTCTGCATAATTCAACACTTATTCGGCCAGCAGTTGAGTGTGGAATGGGGAGGGGTGCTCCCCATGTCTTATCGTTAAAGTAGTCCATAGGGAAAATATGTTTCAGGGGCTGTGGCTTTTGCTGTGCCGAAAAGAAATCATGCTTCGCAGTTTGAATAAAACACTCAGCGGGTCCACATCGCATATATCGATCAAATACGAGTAAAGAACAAAAAATGGAACTGTGCCGGCTCTACTTGTGGTTCAGTGTGATATCGCTGACACTTCTGAACATGGCGTTGGAGCTTAACGCCAATACCATATCCATGCAATCTGCAGTAACGGAAGAGCTGTCCCACGAATCTTCAAGCAACGAAGAGCTCAATGAAGAGACCACCGAGGAACTCCTAACGCATTATTCACATACGGATATCTACGAGGAAAAGCATTTGCTTTTGGATGAAAACAGCAAAAAAGTCAATGGAACTTTTGTGGATACCAGTCCCAGAATAAGAATGTCCATATCCGCCATAGCTGCATTAATTTCTCTTTCTGTAGGTGTAGCCATCTTTGCCGGTTATTTGCGGTACAAATATAATCATCGCACTTCCTATAACTTGTAGTTGTAGCTTAGTTTTCGGTGACTTCCTGTGTGATACAAAAATAAACCAAGAGCCATGGGAATTAATGTAATTGTTTGAGTTTTAGGAACGAATTTACATACGTCCATACATATGTACATACATGCTCCCCAGCTGGTGAAATAAGCAGGCACATCGGGGTCTTCTATACATTATACTATATATTCAAAGTTCATACATATTGGACTCGTACATATTATATCATAGGCATAATTGTAGATGAGAGAATGAGCGGGAATGAAATCATTCGGATCGAATAGACCTACAAGCTATACAAGCTACAAGGTTATTATCTTGGTGTCCCCTCCATCCAACTGGCGCCTCACAGGTGAGCTATCCTCTTGGCTGTTATGGGTGCGGGCACCTGCAGGAAGTTGGAGTTCTGGGGCGGTATTATCAAGTGGCTGATGTGGTGCGGTCGATGGTGGGAGTGGTGGTGGTGGGTGTCCATCGCGGGCGTTTGGGCCGGCAAGTAGGCCGCAGCAGTTGTTGCGTGCTGAAAGTGCTGTGGATGAGCACGGGTCTGCGGATGCTGGTGATGAAGATGATGTTGATGATGCTGCTGCTGGTGATAGCGTATCTCGTCATAGAGATGCGAGTCCAGACTGCCCTTGCGCGACTTGGGCGTGACAATGGAGTAGAGAGATTCCTTCCTAGCGTAGGCATAGGGCGGTGTTTTTATCGACGAGTTATTGCTGGGCGTGTCATATAATTCCGCGGGCGCTGCAAGATAATCGAATAGTTAATTGTGGTAAAAGTTACAGATACAGTTTCGGTGCTGCTTGGAGAGTGTACAACTAGTTCAAGGTTTTGAATTTGACTGCCATCAGCAAAGCAAAATTTGATACACATCTTTAATGACCTTTTGAACCGTCCTCGTAGCAGGCCGGTAGAGACACTTACATACCATCGTTCGTATGGGCTGTTTTTGCAGAGACAACCGGGGGCTGGGGCAGCGGCTCGTGGAAGTTCTTGCCCAGGGCGAAAGCTTCGGTGAGCACCACCTCCGGATTGGAGGGCTGGGTCGTCACAGTCCCATTGGCATTGTAGACGATCGCCTCCTTGTGGTGGTAGCGTTGGTAGACGTACAAGGAGCCGACTGCTATCGCCACGAGCAGGAGCAGCATGATGACGATCAAAGTGGTCACTAGGCCCGATTGCTGATCTGTCGCACTCTGGCTGCTGTTCCCGTCGCCAGCGATGAAGCCAGCCAAGTGCTCCTGTGGGGACGTTACTCCGTTGGTGATGACATGAATGACCTCGGGCGCCGGGACGCCAGCAGCTGCAGCCGTATGGAGATTCTCAAGAAGGTCACTACTCGACTGATGCAAAATGATCTTCGGTGTGTGCTGCCCAGGGTTCTGAGAGGGAGACTGCTTGATCAGTATGACTTCAGGCAGGGCACTGGGCGTGGCTGTGGCTGTGGCTGTCGCTGGGCGCGGTAAAATGCCCATTTTCTCTAACGTTGAGTTCACTGTCTCCACGATGACGTGGCTCACATTTAGCTCCAGCGGATGGTCCTGCATGATGCAGGCTCCGGTCTGATGGTGGCAGGGCTTCTCATCGCAGTCACAGGCCTTCCGGCACATGATGCCATGGGTTCCTGGTGGACACGTCTGTTCGCAGCTGAAAAATCGAATTATTTATGTAATTTTTGTGTGCCGTGCAGGAAACACGTACAATTGACCTGTCCAACCGGCGATGCAGTGGCAGATGCCCGACTTGTTGTCGCAGGCGGCCCCATTCTGGCACTGGCAGAGGTTCTTGCAGTCGAGGCCCCAGCGATCGTGATCGCAGCCTTTAAGGAGATCCCAGATGGAATATCGGAAACATTTTGGTACTTTCTACTCACGCTGCGTGCAGTGCTTTCCGATGTAGCCCTCCTCGCAGCTGCAGATTTCGGGCATTACGCAGCTACCACGCCCACAGCCGCCTCTGCAGATGGGCTTGCATGTTGCCTGGCTGTCGGACAGGTTTCCCTCGTAGCCCTGGCAGCAGAATCGTACCGTTCGCGTCTTGTTCAATTTCTGATAGGCAATAAAGTGGGATTAGTTTTACACATTGCAGGATGATAAGATTGAATGGATGAAACCTGCCGGCCACGCTTGCATAGCCTGAGCATCAAAATGCTCACAGCCCAAAAGTTTGCTGTGAAATAAAGCGAAAAAAATAGCACAGAAAAGTATGTGAAGTTGGCAATTGGTTGCAAATGGCTCCCAAATCTTCTCTTTGATCTCGGACGCTGGACAGGAGGAGATGACTGAGAATCACACACCGTTAATTGGATAAACTCGGAAAGAGCTTTCCATCATCTCTGCTTCCATCAGTGCTTCAGCGACACTTCCCGCTTTACGATTCCCGCTCATGGACTTTGACACAGCTCTTTTACAGAATGAAAGTGAAGACTATTGTAAGTCCCCGGGCAAAGGGCACTGCCCCGCCCACGCCACTCCCCACGAGCACACTCAAATAGCCCTTGGTTGCCAATTTAAGTGAATAACTGAATACCAGCCAAGCTTCTCACACTCATTCCCAGACCAGAGAGCAAATCCAGAGTCCCAGAGTACGAGTTCTTTTCCCTACTTACGCATTGTTTGCCAGATTGCTGATGGATCCGTACACATCTGTACATACTTGTATGAACATGTGTCCGTTACGAGTGTGTGCATGTGTGATGTGTGTATCTGTGTGGCCGCCATAAATGAGTAAGGCGGAAATTTTAATATAAACAGTGAAATTCGATTCGAGTTTGGCTCTGATTCATTGTGTCTGCATAATTATGGTTGGCTTTTCAAATGCCCCTTGCCTCTGCCTCTGCCTCTGCCTCTGCCTCTTGATCTGGTAATTGAATCTGAGTTGAGCAATTTTTACATGTGCCACTCGAATAGCCGCATGAGGCATCTCGCATCTCCCATCTCGCATCATGCATCACGCACCACCCACTTCTCCTTTCCTGGTGCTGATGCTAATGTTTGTGCTTCTTGTGGTTGGGTGCCTATCAATCAGTCGCAGCGACATTTTCTCTTTACATAATCGAAGTTGGAAATCTGCTGAAAATCTTTCGGCACGTTGAGGCTGAAGTTACCTCGAGCGAGCTCGGAGATCAGATCAAACTAGTTTTCCCCTTCGCAGGCACACACTTCTTTATGCGTCCGTGCTCATGTTAATTAATTAGACGAAATTGGCGAATTAGCAGCGGCATTTTCTGTCCAAAATCATGTGAAGTGTTGGCCAAGAAATGTCGCAGCCAAGTTGTGCTCTGGAAAGGCTTCTGCAGGGTAGGACAACCGTTGGCATCTCCTCAGGTCCGGAAAAATACGTCCGGATCAACCCCCAACACCTTATTCTCGTTCAAAACGCTCGATTCCAATTAAAATAATTATGAAATTGATTTGGGGCAAGCAACAACCGATCTCGACTTGCACAAATCATTAGACACGAAACCGAAAAAATAAACCAAGCCAAAACTGGCTGCGTCTTGTCACAGCGATGGCGATGCAGTTTCGAAGCAACTCTGATTCGTGATGCAATCGAAAGTGTGTCAACAGCTTTGGCATCAACTCGCCTCGCGTCAGGCATCCGTACACTGAAGTGGAGCTCTTAATGCTGCTGATCAGTCCGACTGCCTGCCCGCCTCTCAGGCTCCTACTCGTAGTCGTTCTCCAGCCCGGCCATAAACGCTGGATTTTCCGCTTTTCATTTGCACTTTCCATCACTGACACCATGACATAATTATTTCTGTTTACCCCCGGCCAACCACCCGAGGAAAAAAGGCAAATATTGTACGAGTAAATACCAGTAAGTAAAAAACAAAAAAAAAAAACCAGCTGAGCCTGATTAGGTGCCTCCGTTCAGGCAACTGCAACCGGATTCTGGCCATGCTTGGACAACACTTGGCCGCTGTTGTTTTCTCGGTTTTCCACACTGCGCAGTTGGATACTGTTACAGATAGACGGAGGGTATAATGACTATTAGACTATGTTTGTACAGAAGGAACTTTTGATATCCAATAAAGTTCTTTCTGTTTAAATTGAGTCTTTCCAATAGACCTATTGCCATATTGGCTAATAATCACTTGGTTATTACTTATCGTAGGAGTTAATAAATAAATAAATTATAGATTGTTTCTGAGAAATGAGTAAGATTAAAATCTTAGAGAAGAGTAACTCTCCATCCCATCTCCAACTAAGCTACTTCCACGTCATCATTATCGTGAGAATTACGTATACGCAGCAGGTGCACAATAGTTCATAGAAGTTTAGCAGCCAAGGACACAGACTGCCAGAACCTAAGACTCTCGGGTCAAAACCGGTCGCCTGCAGCTGAGTCAAATTGAGTCTTGGCTCAGCCGAGAGCCGATAGCCGATAGCCACTCAATCTGCACTTCCGTTCTGCAGATCAGATGGAAAGGAAACTCTGCAGCAGTTTCACGAGCTTGCGCAACGAGTTTTCCACCGACAGAACTATACAACGACATAAAATAAACGAAATATATGAGCAAAGCAATCAAAGTCGGCCATCGAATGGGGCCAATTTATGGATTTCGTGGAGAGCGGCTTCCTGGTTGGGCAAAACTGAATCAGGCTTGCGGAGCAGGCTCCGCCACATGGGGGAAAAGTGGCCACTGCGAAGGTGTTGCCACTGGGTGTGATGACGCAACAGACTCCGGCAAAGGCAGAGCCGGCAGTTGAACACCTGTACCAGATCGAATATTTGGCTGTTGCATCCATTCGATGCCGCCATTACAACTCACCTGAACCTTCATCACTTCGCGCATTTCCGTCTTGTACGTGGAGCAGCGTGGAGGAATCTCCATGCACCAGCTGGAGGTGCGCACGCGCACCGGCTGCATCTCCGGCACCTGGATATGCTCCACGTACGGCTCCTCGCGTATGCAAATATTCCCGGGCCCCTGGATAGAGGGCAGGGCAATGGCCGTTGCCTCAATCTCCTTTACATTCGTATTTATCCTCAAGCTGATATTCTGCGTGGATCCACGGTGGAGCAAAACCGCGAGCAGCAGGAATAGGTGCTGTTTGAATCCGTTTCTCGTCATTACTACTTTTGTGATTTTTCCAATAGATTGGGATTCCGGATTCCTTGAAGCCCTTTAAAGTTTAAACATGTGCATGTGCTCTAAAACTAATTTTCAACCATTTTATATATATTTTATTCTTGGAAGATTGCATCTGAAGACGTTGTAGCTATAGTACCAGTAGTTTCACTTCACTTTAAATAGGATAATCTTCGATGTTTTAGAGTAAACATTGTTTTCCGTTTATTTATGCACTATATAACAATGTCTGAGAGAAAGGTTATTTATTCATTCACAACTGAGTTCTGTCCGCTTGATTTGAATTGCGTGTACGCTTGGAACGCGACTCTCCATAAAACTGTTTCCCCGTTGGCAGTGATTCCATTGCTCACCCGAATGTTCCTTCTCCAAAACGAAAAAAAACCGAACAAATAATACAAAAACAGTTGTCATTGCAAATTGTCGTCGGGCTAATGAAGGCCGCGTCGAGTGCGAGGGGACTTGAGATCGGAGAGCGGAAGTACGCACTGCACAGTAAATTCTACAAAACGAAAGTGAAATCTGAGGCTCAGTAGCACACACAGGCACACAAAGGCACACACAGTGAGACCCTCTCACCCAGACAGAGGCGGAAAAGTCTCCAATGCAAGTGAATGAAACTCAACTCCCCAAAGCGATCGAGTCTCCGTCTCCCAGCCCGGATCGAGGGAATGGCGATGATTGCATCTAATTGAAATGTTGATCATGTCCTTAACGTGCGGCTGTCATTGCGGGGCGAAAACTTGTCTCCCTCCGGCTGCTGTTGTTGTCAGATTTGCGCTTTTGTTTTTTGCCCAAACTGGGGGACGCAACTGGGGGAGTTAAAGTACCTACAACCAAACAAACGTGGTACAGTTGAATTATCTAGCTCAAAGGTGTTATAGAGCGATACCATAGAGTCAATAGAACCAACATTTTGATTAACTTTAGCATTTCAAAACAGTTGATCTTACTATTGGTTATAGGTTATTATTACGTGGATTCTGGTTCTGGATTCTGGTTAATATTTGCACAAATTAACAATATAAATATTAGGTTAGGCTTAATGTATGGCCTTCATAGAATTGGTAATTGCTCATGAATCCATAACGAACTAAAAGGCAAAAAAGGGCCATGGGTTCTTATTTTTTCAGTACTTTAACGTCGCATATTATTAACCTTCATACTAACTTCTTCACCTGCATTCTGCTTCTTCGAATCTAAAATACTTTTCTCATTTATCAGAGCCCCATCAACGACTTCTGTATTTGAGTTGATTGGGAGTCCACTCGAGTCCATCTAAAACTCCAGCTCCATTCTATCCACTTAGTTAGAGTGTCTTATTTCTTAGATAAACTTTAGAACAATGACACTGAGAGGACCGTCCACCCACACAAGTGTTGATTGTCTTGTTTACACTGAGGTTGTTGCAGTTGTTGCTGTTCTTGTTGTTGTCTATAATTTATTAAATCAAATTTACAAACAGCAGAAAACCAGTTGGATACTGAAACGGAGGCAGAGTCAGAGGAGGAGCTGGGGCTGGGGCTGGGGCTGCGGTTGGGTCTGGGGCAGCAGCTGCAGCAGAAACAAAAGAGAAACTATAAAATTGCAGCAGCTCCGAGAGTTTATTTATTTTATTTGATTAAATTGTAAAACAACACCAGCAGCGGAGCCACCAAATGAGTGAGCAATGTGCGTGCGACGCCGGAGTTCCAATGACCCGCATGGATTGCACTCACCATAGTCCATCCCGTGCCCGGGCGAACCCCCTGTGGTACTGGTTTTGTATGCTAAATATCCATAGAACGTGAGGCTATATTAGGCCATTGGTTGCTTTGGGGACGGGAAAGTGAAACTATCATCAAGTGAGAGAAACCATTAAATATATGTCAACAAACAAACAACAACCAACAATAAATATCCTAAATCTGATCATGGATCAGTTATGGAGTCCGAATAGTCCCAGAATAACGTAATTTTTATAGGTTTTGTAAATTAATTATCAACTTGAAAAGGGACTAAGAGAATCAATTGAAGAACCTCCCAGACGAGATCTCAATCTCCTGCCGCTCTGCTAAGAAACATGTGGGCTGCAGCCACAGACTAGAGGGTGTCGCCTATTCGATCAGTTTCCAGTTGCGCGTTCTCAATGTTAATTTGTTGTTCGGTTGCAGTTTTTAGGGTGCCGCCGGTCTGGCAATTTGTCAGATTTGCGTTTATTTTTTTGTTTTATTTTAGAATTATGTCTGTGTGTATTTTTTTGGCATTGATTCAAGTTCAACTTGGTTATGGATATAGTAGCTATAGGTGCGAATTGAATAGGCGGAAGTTGTGAGTGTATAAGTACAACATTTTGTTTGACTGTTAGTTAACATTATCTTAACATACATCTTAACATACATATGTGTATGTACATATGTCTCCCACTTTCTAAAAATCTAGCTGAAACGTAAGCTTAAGCAAGAGCAGATCATGAGGATCAGAATGTTTAGGGCTGATCCCTGGTTGGCCCCGTTGTAGAAGCCTCCATAGACCTGAAGACCAGCAGTTTCAATGCTTCGCTTGCAGTAGTCTCCATCGTAGTTCCAGCCAACGTATTCGTTCGTGCGCAGGTTTTCCAGGCGCAGCCATTCCTCGAGCGGAGCAAAGTATTCCCGCAAGGCGCTGCCGTCCAGGCGGCCCTCCTGCAGGGTCTCCTCAAGTACCTCTTGCCATGGCTGGGAGGCGCCCTTGGCCATTAGCTTTCTGTTCGTGAAGAATTGGGTGAAATTTTAAAATTATAAACACGGTGGTAGCGGAATCATTTAGAAACGTATACATATGTGTAGCAGCTCCAAAAGCTTGAGAATTTTTTAGACAAATGCTAAATAAATCTTAAATATATCTGAAATACGTGGGCTCAAACTGAGACTTACTTGAGCATATTGCCAGCGGCTGGCTGGCGGTAAATGTCGCATTTGTGCAGCGGCTTCCTGGGATCGCCGGGAACATATTGGCCCGCCTCGCGGCACATGCCCCGGTAGAGCTGGAACTGCAGCACCGTCGAGAAAAAGTATCTGCAATGGGACGGATGGCGTTGCATGGCTTTAGTATGATTAATATGAACGGGCTTTAGAACGGACGCGGTCACGCTTCTTGGCCCGTGTAAGAATTGTCAATTGTTGCGAGTGAGAGTTGTGATCAGATTCGGTCGCAGTGGTTGTTGTTGCTTCTGTTGTTGCTGTCGTTGTTGGTGGTAATGCGGCTGCTGCCAAGTTGTTGTCGAGTTGGCTGGTCGTTGTGCATTCTGGCTCAAGGTCGAGCTCCAGTTGAAGCCTTAAACCGAGCAGCCACAGCAAGAGCAACAGCGAGAGCAACAGCAACAGCAACAGTTTCGTTTCTTGGAGTTTCGAAATCATGCAAAAGTCAACATTTGTGGTCTTGTAATTGCCGTTTGCTCTATGCTCATTTAATCGCACTTATGTTTATGGCATTTTAACTTCATTTTTATGACGGCAGCGACGGCTGCGCAATCAAGTAGCAATTATTCAAAGCAATTCCGATTCTGTTTTCCCCGAGCCGTGCGGACTTTGCATAAAATCTTAATTTAGACATTGATTTTTATGTGTATTTTGGTGTATTTTTTTTTTAATATTCTGAATTGATTTATAATAGTTCTGCAATATTTCGGCAGATTTACGGGGATTTTTTTGCATATCTAAAAATAGTTTGGGGCCTAGAAAAAGTTCAACTAATGGTTGCTTGTTGCTTGTTGATTTCTTCTGAGAGGAACGGACAGAGACGAACTTTCGTTGGTATGGCCTTCGCCTCGGGGGTTCCCCATTTGAGGCAATGCCAGTACTGATCAAGTCGGAGCGTTGAACCGAGACCTCTGCCCATTCGTCTCCCATCTCCCTCGCTTCACACATTCACCGTTGTGAGAATGTCGGTGAGAATGTTGCAAGCACAGCCGCAAAAAAGGCATTTTTATGCCCACTTTTCACAATGTTCGATCACGGCTGCAGACTCCCAGGCTGCAGACTTGGTACCAACGTGCCACAGCTCCATTAAGTGCATCAGCAACAGCAGCAGCAGCGTCAGCTTAGTCTGGTGGCGGTGTGTTATGTTTTTGGCACTTGGCAGCAGTTGCCACATAGCCACATCGTCGCCACATTTTCCCAGAGACGCGACATGACCCAATAGCAGGGATTAGGCAGCTGCCTCGTCGACTCCGGTGGATGTGGATGTGGATGTGTTCGTGTGTGCTTGTCGCCCGACGGTTGCCATTCATTCAATCATTCAATCAGACACTCGGGCAGTCTGTGACGGGGTTAGCAGTCTTGGTCCAGTCAATCAGAGCCAACATTGTCGGCAATTAGTCCAATTTTTGTTGCCGCTGCATGCTGCTGTTGCTATGGCTGCTGCCACTGCCGCTGCTGCTGCTCTGTGCTAAAATTAAATGTTGCGAAAATTCTTTTCAATCTCTCGGACATGGAACATGTGTTCGACGAGCCAGAGCCAGAAATCAACAAGAAATATGCGAAAATCTTTAATTTTCCGAAGCCACAAAGCCAGTGCAATTATTCAGCTGAAATGTGCCTGCTGGTTTGCTGCTGCTGCGGGGCGTATGAGCGAGCGAATGTCGTTTATGCGATAGCCACTAATGATCGGTTTTCGGCTCGGATTGGGTTTTCCCAGACCCATTCATTTAGCCAGTTGCTGAATAGGATGGCTAAGCCATCGAAGATTATTTTCCTGCAAACAGGCCAGTAATTGGAATGGACATTTCTGGTCACTTCGGTTTAGGTTGAGCCGCAAACCTATGGCACATTACAGCTGAGGACCTGTGGCTTAGACAAAGGCCAGACAGACACAGAAGCGGTCTCAAGGAAAGCCACAAATTTAGAGAAAATGGAAACATTTGATAAGCGCTGAGATGTTTCGTAAACGTGTATACATGTACCCATATCTTACTCCAGTTCTCCATATACGGTCTGCCAATAGATTTCTAGTTTGAGCTTGTAAAGTAATTCCACTTCAATTTTCCACCAGATGTGAATGTCACCTGTGAGGTCACACTGGGCCAACTCTGGCTGAGATCTGTTCATTTAGTAGCTGTAGCCAGGCCCGAAAGTGGTTCAATGTCCAATGCACTGACCGGACCGATTGCCCAGCAATTGACAAACTGTCGGACTGACATGCCGATACATATATATGTACATATGTATATGTATCCATTCAATCTCTTTGCGAGCCCAAACGACTCTTAAGACAACGTCGAGTTATCTGCGGCCTGTAGTTTACCTCTGATGTTGATATCTCGTCTCTTTGTTTCGCTTGACAAAGCTACCAGACACATACAAAAAGATTACTTTTTTTACGAATTACGCTTTTTTAGATTTTATTTTTCGGGGTCTGACCTTGACTTTCATAGCCATGCTCGCCAGGTGGAAACGGTTCGGGTTTTGTAATGAAATTGCGCGGGAATCCAAATAAAGTTAAACTAATTTGTTGAAATAAAACTCATGACACTGGCTGAGTGGAATTCAGCGAGTACCTAAGAGTCTCTAGTTCTCTAGTCTTCGGTCAAATTAAAATTACGTTTTCTTACAAAAAATGTTTATTTATGAAGTGACTGATTGGAGGTCATCATTTGGATACAACATTCCCTTTTACGGCTCACGACATGTTGAACGACCCAAGAAGTATTCACAAAAGGATTTCTATACTTTTTGTATATTTATGGTATCCTTATACCCTGAATGGGTATTAAAGAAATCACACAAGATGTGGTTTTGTATTGTATTTTGTATCTTGACATTTTATCATATAAAAACTATTACTTTTTGGCGATGTTTATATGGAATTAAGATTAACAGTGGTGCTCCCAGGCATCCACATCGTAAAGCAACAAATGTTAAATGCCTAATTCCAACTGATAAGTTTGGCAATAGTTCATCCAACATTTCCTGATTACCCTCAATAGTGTCGGATTGGAAATCGGAAACTTTTTATCTATGGCAAATTGATTTGATTAGATCAGTCGTTAATTTAAGTTTCCCGCTCCCACGGACCCAATGAAATCACAACTTTTAGATTCATTTTAATACCGCCGAAACAAAGTATATGCGCATTTTCAATGAGATTTTCTGTTGCAAATATAATCTTGGCCATTGCCCGAAAAAATAAACGAGAGAAAAACTGGTCACTTGTCGGAAATCGTTTAAGTTTTTCACTTGATATGTCAAAATGCCAAAAACGTTGCACAAAACGTGGCTGGCCCGATGTCGAACGGAGCCAATGACCAGGCATTAGGCATACGCCCTGTTGGCGGCGTTGGCCGGATTGGCCACGCCGCTCCTCGTTGCCAGCAAATCATTTAAGCGCCATGGGCGTGTGGTCTGAGCAACGAAGACAACGAATGGCCACCAGCTTCTTTCAGAGGCCGCTGCAGGGGCTGCCTCAGATGGCCTGGCCTCACTTTGCTTTGGTTTTACCCCTCTTTGCGCTTAGAAACATTGCGGATGCAGTTGGCGGCCAGGTCGGACAGACAGGCGAGGAGAAGTCGGTCCGGTTTTTGTCTCGGCCATAAATAGAGTCGGTGTCGGATGGCGATATGGAACGCGATCCAGTGCGTTGCACAATGCACTTTCAGTTTCGTATTCGTATTCGGATTCCGATTCAAAATCCAATTCCAACTCCAATTCCGATTCGAGTCAGTTGCAGCTGTTTATTTCTATTGCCATGTGCCATGTAATTCCATTCTTAATTATCTAATTATTCATTGTTCTAGATCCGCTTTTTCGAACCTAATTAGCATTTAATTTGAGCTCACTTTTGCTCAAGCCTCGATTGTCCGCCAGATCCGTGCGCATAAATCAATAATCCACAACCGAGCAGCCAGACATCCACTCGAGGCGACCGGCCTCGTTTCCAGCGAACTTGATCCAATTCCTTTTCGAATCGCCATAAAAGTGGTTATAGTTACTGCTGTGTGTGTTTATTTCTTGTTTTTATAATTTTACTATCTCTTGTTCGCCAGCAAAAAGCTGTGAAAGTTTGTGGAGCTTGGACTGCGTTAATAAGAAGGTATCAATGATATGGTTTTGATCTTCAAAAAAGAAATATTCCGAGAAGTAAAAGGACAGTTGTCGATTCAAGGGTGGTTTTTGTGCTAATCTAAATTTCTTTAGGTGGTAGTGTCCTGTAATATATTCTGTAAAGATCCGTATAAATTCCTGCCTTAGGGGGGGAATCTCCAAGGGTAACTTGTCCTGTTCCTGAATTAAATACTTTTCTTTTCAGACTATTTCAATTCGCTTCGTTAACTCTCAGCTTCTGTGCTCAAGAAGTATTTCCCAGACCATTTCCCAACTGTCGAGTCAGTGCACCTCAACTGCATTACAATTGTGTGAAGTATATTGCCAGCCACCCACGAGCGAGGACTGCCGACGAGTGGCCCTAATAAACCTTAATTATATTTGGCTAATTTGCGACTCTTTCGCATATTGCATATTTGCACTTTTGCATATTGCATATATGCAATATATGCAGCATATTGCAGGGTGGCCCTGTCCGGAGGCTCATCAGCTGGCCAGGCTCTGGGGCACAGACGCAGACGTAGACCGCAGTAACATGCACCGCTGTCGGGGCATTCGAAGCATTAACACACTCCAAACAATTGGCTATAAATCAGCCTGCGCCAAATGCAACAGCAGAGAAGCGAAGGAAAGGGCGGGGGACTGGGGGGGTAAGCTGCCGTTATTGTTGTCGTTATAATCAATGAATTACGTCGCATCGGTTGACCACAATTTATGGGGACTCCGAACATGAGAATCCGAAATGCGGGGCACAAGAAGCACACAAAAGTTAATGCTGAAATCGAACGCTGAAAATGCAACTGCACCAGCTGCCCCCCAGAAAGGGAGGAAGGGGTGTCGAGAGAGCGTTAGACAGTGGTTGTAGGGGGGGTGGCGCAACAGGCCACAGGGGTGGAGTGGCAGGCTTAGATGTTGCAACCGCATGCAACAAAAGAAAAGCATCCAAAAGACGTCGCATGGCTAACCGAACAGAACCG